GGCTCAAACTCAATGTTTTTTCAAATAATTGATGCAGTGTCTCTCCCTGTCAGCACTGCTGACACGGGGGCTGGATCCTTCGCTGAGATGGGGCCGTCCTGTGCCCTGTCGGCTGTTGAGCAGCATCCCTGGCCTCCACCCGCTCGATGCCAATAGCACCCCCTCCCCAAGTCATGGCTATCATAAATGTCCCCAGACATTGCCTAATGTCCCCAGGGTGACGTAGGGGGCAGAACTGTCCCCACTGGGACCCAGCAGGCCAGCTGGGAGGGGACAGAGCACAGAGAGAACCTAGACACATGTCAACCAGTAGAGCCGCCACTGGCTCGTGACTTTTGGGAGCTTGAAGTGCGGCCAGCCCAACGCAGTAAAAAAAGAAAAAACAAAAAGTTAAATAAGCATCCCCCAAAAGTTAAAAACCACGCTAATAATTTTTTCTATTGATTACACGTTGAAACGGTAATAGTTTGGCTGGATGGGGTGGAAATCGGCCCTTAAACTCATTTCTCCTGCACCTGTTTCTGTCCCCTTTTTAAGATGGCATCAGTGGCTCCCCTCCAGGCAGCCCGCAGGCCTTTTCGCTGTTGTGTTTTTCATTTGCTCTGCCTCCCCCCCGAATGCTCATTACACACTCAGAGAAGGGAGTCCTCGTCCCCAGGGCCACTGCTGGTTCCAGTGGCAGAGAATCCCGCAGGGTGAAGAGGGCAGGCGGTTGGTCGCCTGTCACCTCAGCTTAATAAATGGAACATTGAAAGCAATCCCACCCCGTCGCCACATACAAACTGTGGGCTGGCTGGCCTTTTATTATTATTATTATTATTATTATTATTATTGTGTTGAAAATACACACAACAAAATGTACGCCATCTCGACAATTTCTCCACATCCTATTTCAGTGGCTTTGATTACTTTCTTCGAGTTGTGCAGCCATTCTTGGTATTCTCTTCCGAATCATTCCACCACCATTAGCAGAAACTCCATGCCCCCTAAGCACAAGCTTCCCCTCTTCCCCCCCCCCCAACCCTGGTAACCACTAACAATCGTTAGTTTCTGCGTATCTGCTTATTTTATGCGTGAGATCATACAGTATTTGTCCTTCTGTGTCTGACTTCTTTCGCTCAGCCTGATGTGTTCAAGGTTCATCCACGTCGTAATGTGTATCAGGATTCCATTTCTCTTTATGCTGGGTAATAGTCCATGAAAGGAGTCCCGGTGGCACAGTGCTTAGGCACTCCGCTGCTCAACAAAAGGTCAGCAGTTCCAAGGGAGAAAGACGTGGCGATCTGCTCCCGTAGAGATGACAGCCAAGAAAACCCTACGGGGCCGTTGTGCTGTCACATGGGGTCGCTGAGTCAGAATCAACCTGACAGCACCAGACGACATTCCATTGTGTGAACATACCAGGTTCTGTTTATCCGTTTATCTGCTGATGGACGTTTCGATTGTTTCCACCTGCTGGCCCTGGTTGACAGTGCTGCGGAGAACACCGTGTACAGGCTGGGCTTTCACTGAGCTGGGCCATGTGGGGGCTGGTCCCGCTAGATGGATGCTTACAACCTCCCGGGTACATTACACACCGAAGGGGAGAAACTAAGGAAAGAGAGCTCGGCTGGAAAGTGCTGCTGATTCAGGGTAAAAATATGGAGTTAAAACAAAATTTGCTTGAAAACATCATGTTAAGTAAAAGAAGTTAGACGCAAAAGAACCAATATTGGATGATCCCACTTATATGGTGTCATGGATTGAACTGCGTCCCCCCAAAATATGTCAACTTGGCTAGGCCATGATTTCCAGTATTGTGACTGTCCACCATTTTGTCATCTGATGTGATGTTCCTGTGTTGTAAATCCTACCTCTATGATGTTAATGAGGCGGGATTAGCGGCAGTTATGTGAGGCAGGCCTCAATCTACAAGATTAGGTTGTGTCTTAAACCAATCTCTTTTGAGATATAAAAGAGAGAAGCGAGCAGAGAGAGATGGGGGCCTCATATCACCAAGAAAGAAGCACTGAGAGCACAGTGTGTCCTTGGGACCCAGGGTCCCTGTGCTAAGAAGCTCCTCGACTGGGGAAGGTTGATGACAAGGACCTTCCCCCAGAGCTGACAGAGAAAGCCTTTCCTAGGAGCTGGCACCCTGAATTTGGACTCCTAGCCCTCCTAGACTGTGAGAGAATAAATCTCCGTTTGCTAAAGCCATCCACCTGTGGTATTTGTTACAGCAGCACGAGATCACTAAGACATATGGAATATCTAGAATAAGCAAATTCATAGAGACCAAAGTTTATTCATGGTTACCGGTGCGGGAGGGCGGGGGGAAAAGGGGAGTCATTGCTTGTGGGGCACCGAGTTTCTGTTGATGGCGGTGGGATAACTTGGAAAAGGGCAGAGGTGATGGGTGTGATGGTTGACAACATGATGAACGTAATCAACGCCACCAAATTGTACATGTGAAAATCGCTGAATTAACAAAGGTTCGTTACATCTTTTTACAAAATAAAAAATAAAAAAAATTTGCTTGCACACGATGAATGCGATTAACGCCATCGAATTAAACACGTAGAAACCGTTGAAATGGCAAATGGTTTGTTATATATATTTCTACCACAATTAAAAAAAAAAAGAAAAATCTGCACCGACAAAATGTTTGGTATTTTCTTCTTCCAAATCAAGCACACACACAAAAAGCAGAGCAAACACAAACTCTCAATGCACGAGACTCTAAAGCTCTCAGATTTCGAGGTTTTTTTGGGGGGTGGGGTGACAGAGCTGAAGCGGAGCCGCGCGGGGTCACAGCTGTGTAGCACACAGCCCTCAAACACACTAGCAGTTTCACCCATCATCCCATGTAACCATCTTGAGATTTGTAAAGCCTGACGACCCCAAGACCCCAAAGCAAACTCTCTGTGCTTCTTGTACAATTTTTCTGGAAATCTAAAACTGCTCTAAAATATGTCTATTATTTAAAAACAAAACTTAATCTGAGGGAGGGGAAAAAGAAAACCCAACACATCTGTACAGAACATTCCATCTCCAATAAGAACTGTGAGGCCACTGGCGGGGAGGGAGTCAGGGTCCCCAGAGTGACCAACAGCTGGCTGGACGATACCACCTTCGGCCTAAAACTTGCACAGATTAAAACCAGTTGCCGTCCAGTGGATCCCGACTCACGGCGACCCCATGTGTCGGAGGAGAATTGTGCTCCACAGGGTTTTCAATGGCTAAGTGTTCGGAAGATTGCCAGCCCTTTCTTCCGAGGTGCTTCTGGGTGGACCTGAACCTCAACCGTTTGGTTGGCAGCTGAGCACATTTACCAACTGCACCACCCAGGGACTCCTCCCACACCGAAACCCAAAACACCAACCAATTTTATGCTTTTTACAGGAGAAAGAGCACGGTCTGTTGTGCAAAGGAACTTAAACCCAGGTCGCACCCAGCACATCATCGGAACCCCAGAGATGCACCCGGCTGGGGTGAGGGGCAGGGATCCCCAAGTCTGTGCCACTTGTGACCAACCTGTTGGGAGCCTGCTGATCCGGTTGTGAGTGGCGCAGGCCAGCGGCTATGCTACCACCGTGGTTAACACAGCCAGGAGCCGTGGGTCAGAGGCTGGGCAGTTTAGGAGCGTTTCTAGAGACTGAGACCCTGGGTGGTGCCAATGGTTATGTGCTCAGCTGCAAATTAAAAGGCCGGGGGTTCAAGTCCACCCAGAGGTGCCTCAGGAGAAAGGCCTGGCAATCTACTTCCAAAAAATCAGCTTGAAAATCCTAGGGAGCCCCATTCTACTCTGCCCCACATGGAGTCACCATTGACTTCATGTCAACTGGGATTCTAGGGAACGGGAAGCAGGGGTAGGGAGAAAGAACCCTGAAAAATCTCTGCTGTCACCCGTGCAGACAGTGCCCTGGGGTGTCCTTCACACACACACACACACACACACACACACACACACACACACACACACGTGCTCACACACACACTGCCAAGGAGCTGACTGCAATTCACGGCAGCCTCGGGCATGTCAGAGTAGAACTGCGCTCCACAGGGTTTTCAAAGGCTGATTTTCTGGCAGCAGATCGCCAAGCCTTTCTTCTGAGGTGCCTCTGGGTGGACTCGAACCTCCAATCTTTAAGTTAGCAGCTGAGAGTGCCCACCATTTGCACTGCCTAGGGACGGCTTACATGACGGTCTCATGATGCGGTCATTCTGAATGCCCGCAAGAGGCTGGCGCCCTCAGAGAACAAAAACATTGAAGTGCAGTGAACACGTTAATTCCTGCCTTCCTTCTGAGGATGCTCCCGAAGAATCTTGGCTACCTACAGGCCACCGCCTTCAAGACTTTAAGTTTTGTCTTTAAATCATGATGGGAGGTTTTTCTGGGGGGGATTATTAAGTGGCAAAAGCCTGGAAAGTTGGTTGAAGGGGCCACCAGTTCGCGTCGTCTTTGGTGTCCGCAGAATAAAAAAACACAGGAGATTAGAAGAATTTCCCCAAGAAGGAAAGAAAAAGGACAATCCAGCAGTTCCTACTAGACCACAAGCTGCTGTCTTCTGCTGCTCCCTCAGAGAACCCTTCGTCTGCAATGTGCCCACAGGTTAAGTATCAGCTTGTTTCAAGCCGTCGGGAAGTACAGAGGGGGAGAGCTCACTCAGCCCCGACATCTTCAGAGAGAAGGGGAAGCCTCAGATACAACCCTGCCCTCCACCACTTCCTACCGCCGGCAGCCCCGAGGGGGCCTTCTCGGCCCTGGAGCCCCAAGAGCTGGGCCCTGGCTCTCCCGTGGGCAAGGTCACGGCAAGTCAAGCACGGGCGAAAAGCTGACTGGAGCAGAGGGCCCTGCGGGGACCCTGGGGCCTGAACTAGGAAGAGACCCCCCACCTTCGCCTCCGTAAATCTAAAAGTCACGTGCACCTTGGGGACACTGACAGTGACGTGCCGGGTGGCCATTCTGATTGGCAGGGCTGGCGGAGGGGACCGAGAGCCGCCCACCCACATCTGTCAGCTGCGAGCGAGTGCAGGTTTGTCTGCGCGTGTAAACCCAACGCTTCCTTTCTGCCGAGCCGACTCTCAGCTCAGCTGCCGCTCTTCCGGTGAGGAGGCAGAAGTTTCTGGTCACTGAGAGGAGGGACGGAGGACCACCCTGCTGGCGCCAGCTCTCTGAGGTGGCAGAAGTGACCCGGAGGGGAAGGCAAAGGGGACTGGACTTGATCACAGCCAGGGAGCCTGTGCTAAGCTTCTCTACTAGAGGGCAGAAAGGCGGCGGGTGGGGGTTCCCCTTTCCGCTGCCTGGGGGTCCACGCTGAGGCTGGAAAGGGGTGAAGCCAGTCCCCGACACCATTTTTCTTCCCTTCCTCCCCCATCTCGAGCTGGCGCTGAGGTTTTCCTGCAGGGCTGTCCTCACCGGAAGCTCCTCAACCCTGGGGCTGATCCACATTGCCAGCTGCCGTCGTCAACCCCAACTCCTGGCGACCTCATGTGGGTCACAGGACAACTGTGCTCCATAGGGTTTTCAACAGCTGGCTTTTTGGAAACTGGTTGCCAGGACTTTCTTCTGAGGTGCCTCTGGGTGGACTCGAGCTGCCAACCTTTCGGTTAGCAGTGGGTGTGTCACGCAGGGACATTTAAGCCAAAGGCTAACACCCCCAAAACCAAACGCAACAAAATACAATGGGCACCACTTGCTTTTTCTTTCCCCCCGCTTTTTTTTTCTTAAACCTAGGTAAGCAGGTTCCAAGGAGGCAAGACGAGCAGCTACCCTTCCCCGGAACCCAGAGAGCTGCGCTGACTGACAGGTGGGAGGGGTGGGGGCGGGAGCATGTTCCAGCGTCTTCCGTGATGGTGCCCTCCACGGAGGGCCAGGGTGCAGGGGCAGGGGCGCCGGCCCGTCTCTGGCTGGAAGGGCAGGGCACAGGCAGGGACGACGGCTCGGCATCACCGTCACACGGCGGTGCGCGTGGGCGTGCCGGGCTGGTTCAACCTCAGGGTTTTACACAGCCAGCCTGCAAAATCCACTTCTTCCACCTCGGACCGTTTGATGAAGGTGTGGTTCTGGAAGGGAAAGGGACAGGTGAGTGGCTGGGCCTGGTGTCTGCCAGAAGGGGGATGAGTGGCCTCCCCGGCCCTGGCACAGGACTCAGAGGGAAATGACACGGAGATACAAGGACCCCCGGCCCGGCCTCCGGAAGACACGCTGTGGACGGGGGACAGACCAAACCCAGAGAGGAGAGGGCGTGTGCGACAGGGCCGAACCGGGGTGCCGGCAACGGATACCCGACTCAGAGCCTGGACCCCAGAGGCGTGGATGACAGGGTCCCTCTCCTTCGGCACTGCAGACACAGGGCTATATCCTTCTCTGGGGTGGGGCTGTCCCAGGCCCTGTAGGGGTGCTCAGTAGCACCCCTGGCCTCCACCCACTCGATACCTCTAGCATCCCCATCATGACCACGAAGGCCCCCAGACATCACCCAGTGTCCCCCAAGGGCAGGGCGGTTCGGGTAAAACCCACAGCCCTGGAGTAGTGCTGTCTAGAACATTCTGCGAGGGGGGCTCCGTTCTCTACACTCGGCCCAGCCCGGCAGTACTTGCAACCTGAGGCTATTGAGCCCTTGACCTGTGTCTGCTGTGGCCGAGGACCCCAATTTTGCATTTTATCTAATTTTGATTCGTTTAACTCGGCTGGTGGTTCCCACGCGGGACCGTGTCACACCAGGACTCCGGGTTTAGACGGGCCGGGAGAGCTACACAGATGCTGTGACGGGGGCGGGGGGCAGGGTGTGGGGGGCCTCCAATCCGCAACAGAAGCAGGGGTGGTTCCATAGCAGAATTCTCGCCTTCCACGCAGGAGACCCGGGTTCTAGTCTCGTTAAAAGTCAGTGCACCTCACGCACAGCCGCCACCCGTCTGTCCGTGGAGGCTGCGTGTTGCTGGGACGCTGAACAGGTTGCAGCCGGGCTTCCAGACTAAGAGGGACTAGGAAGCAGGGCCTGGTGATCGACTTTGAAAAATCAACCATGAAAACCGTGTGCATGACAATGGCCCCTGGGGCTACATCACAGGGATGGTGCGCACGGGCCCTTCCTTTGTGCACCGGGTGGGGGTCGCTGTGAGCAGGGGCCCACCTGATGGCAGTTAACGGTACCAACACCTCCCCACAGGACACCAAGACCTGCAAGTCATCTCCCTACACAGGCTGCCAAAGGCAAGAGCCTCTCATCTCCCTAAAGGTTGTCGCAGGCTTGGTTGAAAAACCAAGGAAAACAGATCTAACCGAGCTCTCGCTGTCTGCGGTCCCAGAAGGGGCAGTGACGAAGAGAATTCACAACAGCAGCTGGTTTTCAAAAGCCCAGCGGCTACTCTGGTTAAAAAAATCAGGGCTACGTATTGTTATGGACTGAACTGTGTCTCCCCAAAATATGAGTTGTAAATCCGAACCCTTACACCTGTGGTTGTCACCCCATTTGGGAATGGGTTCTCTTTGTCAAGACAAGAGGCCACATCCGTGGAGGGCGTGTATTAAGCCAATCACTTCCGAGATATAAAAAGAGCAGATTAGGCACCAAGAAGCAAGAAGAGATGGGGGAAGAGAGACGCCCAGCCACGTGAGGACCGCCCAGGAGCAGAAGCTCAGAAGAGACAAGGACCTTCCCCCAGAGCCGACAGACAGAGAAAGGCTTCCCCTAGAGCCGGCGCCCTGAATTCGGACTTCTGGCCTCCTAAATGTGAGAGAATAAGTGTGTTTGTTCAAGCCATCCCCTTGGGGTATTTCTGCCACATCAGCACTAGAGACCTAAGATGTGTATACAGATAACATGCCTTTTCACTAAGGCAGAAAGACAAGATCTGGAAGGTTTTACCGCACCAGGCTGCCGTGGAGAGCTGCGTGTTTGGCGGGGGCGGGGGGTATTACAGGTGAGCGCCACGTCCCCGTGCGTCTGCGTCATTGGCATACACTTTACAACCAGCACACACCGCCCTGTCACTCATCTAACACCTGGTAACGAGACGCCTCCTCACGTCAGAGGCAGGACTGAGTGCTGGGGCTTCTAGAAAGGATCAGACGGACAGACTCCCCACCTGTCTTTCCCCAAGGGCTACAGCGAACAGCAACACAGACCGGGACAGGCCAGCAGCCACTGCAGCTAACGGGGTCTGGCCGGGCGAGGCGGCCTGGGGCCGACCGGGGAGGCAGCGCCGGGGCGGGAAGCGTCCTCTAAGGAGAAGACCGGCCATGCAGAGGTAGGTCCTGGGATTCACTGGAGCAGAAGGGCGTGTGGGGGTGGGGAAGGAAAGCAGTGGGTCCCTGCTGGCCATGGGGAGGGGCATGGGAACCCCCTGAAGGGCACGGTTTGGCTTTTCAAAACACCAGATCCAGTAATTCTGACGCTCGCCTTGTCTCGCTTTGCCACGTGAGACGAAGCGTCGTCTGAGGTTTGCGGTCTGACCTCTAAAATGGGCCTCCTTTTCCTTCTTGGGGGCCCCCACAAAAACGAGCTCTGCTAGGACCAAAGGTTCTTAGATCCGACTAGCTGTGGGGATGGAAGGAGCAGTTACGGGGTCGCTGATGACGAAGGGGCTGGGGCACGATGCTCTGGCAGCTGGGTGTGAAGGAGGCACCGCGGCTCACTCCGGAAGGCCAAAGCCGTCTCGACCTCATGGGGACGTGACACCCCTGCTGGGGACGGGGTCAGCAGACAGCCTGGTCTCAGGGAAGCTGAGGCTGAGTTTAAGGAAAGGGCCTCTGAGGCCATCCCTCCTGCTGAGGGCAGGGTGCCCACCAGCACTGCCCTAGACCAAAAGGAGAGCCCCCCCCAGGCACGCGAGTGGGACCCCACTCAGGCGAACAAGGAGGAAGCAGCGGGGAGGCAGGAGAGGAGACCAGGAGCAGGGCACCCGAGGCACACATGAGGAAGGAAACCAGCCCTATGCCTCCAAAGCCTCAGCACCCACAGCGCTCTGGAGCTGAACACCTCGCCCGCCCCCATCCCGGGCACCGCGGGGTGGTTCTGTCCTCCCGGGGTTCGAGGCCTGCGTCCAACTCTTGGTTCCTGTGCTAACGGGCCAGGGAGGCCCAGAGGGCTCGCGGGCTCGGCTCCGCCCTGGCCTGCTCCCCGCCAGCTCAGGTGCCGACTGTGAGCCGGTGCAGGTGGTGGGCCTGGGTGAGCACCTCCTTGTCCTGGGTGTCCCCGGCTCAGAGGGAAGGAGGAAGCCACCCGGTGGCAGCCCTGGGCCCCGCCTGTCACATTACTCACCATCAGCATCTTCAGGTCGGCGCGCTCTGCCGGGTTCTTGATCAGGCTAGGGGTCCGCGAGGCGGGAGGAAGGGGAAAGGGGGACAAGAGAGCTCGGTCAGCCATGCGCCGGGCAGACTTGCACTGTGAGCCGTGGCTGGCCACCTGTGCTGGCCCCATTTGGGGGCACAGACCTGATCTGCCACAGCCACGCTGCCAAGTCCCAGCCAGGGTGAGGGGCTGCATCTCTGCCCCTTGGTTTGAATGGCAAGATGCCGGGGAGGGGAGGGACAGGGCCTGGCAACAAGAAACGAGGGGACAGAAAATGGGGTGGGAAATGTCCTACACCCCACTTTCCAGCCAGAAGCCCAGGAGCAACTGCAGCTAAATTTGCATAAAAACCCCACGCTGCCTCGCTCGCGGGCTGGCTGGCTCGCTTGCTCGCTCGCCCAGGGGTCAGAAGGTCCAGAGGGAACTGCCCAAAGCCGACTGCTCCGAGCAGCTCAGGGTCAAACGGTGTTTCTTAAAATACCTCACACATGTATGAAAATGCTTCCATGTAAAACCGGACTGACTACAGTGAGCCTGCTATAAGGCCGTGCAAATGGCCCGTGGTGCGCTGAGTCACCACAGGGAAAAGTCTGTGCTGTGGATCACACGGCATCCAAGTGGCAGCTGTGTTGGTGGACGCCCCAATGGAAAAGGAGCACCGCCCCGAGGGTAAGTGGGCGGCCCTTCCCCTCCCTGCTGGCCCCAGCATGAGGCCCAGGCCAGAGACGCTACCCAGTCTCCTGTGGGCAGAAGAAGCAACAGCCATTGGCGACTTGCTCAGAAACCTGCTTGGAAGGCTTCTCTGGAAGCTGGTGGGTGACAGAACCCAGGGGCCAGGGGGCTGGGGCTGCTGCTGGCAGACGGCCAGGTGGGAATAACAGCTCTTTTCAAATAAAAGACCCCAAGGGCGTGGAAGCCGGAGTCATTCTGGGTTTTGGGGACAAGCTGGGCTCTGCATTGGGAATCGTGACCCTTGTGGCCTGGGAAGGGAATCTGGTTCTGAGGTGCACTCCAGCCACCCCTCCAAACCCTGCCGCCCGCCCACCTGCCTGCTCGCCTGGGACTCCTGACCCGGGACTCCTAACTGGCAGGCTCGGTTCATCGGCTGGGGCATGGGCTGGCTGAGCCAGTGCCCGGGTGGCCCAGGAGGTGGTGGGGCCTCCCAGGGACGGGCCTCCCAGGGTCAGGCCCCAGGCCATTTGCCCGCCCGCCCAGGATGGTGCTGGAGGGGCGCTCACCATTTATTTACAAACTCCTGGAAGTCCTGGGTGAAGACGCCGCTGGGTAGCTTGGGGGGAGGCTGTGGGGAAGAAGAGACAGGTGGGGTCCATCAGCTCAAGGAGGCTCTGGAACCACCCAGAAAGGCGTTTCCACACCTTTCAGGTGGGATAACTGCATGGCCCTCTGCCTGGGGAGGCTCCCCCCAGGCCCTCCCTGTCCCCAGAGGCAGAAGTGACCTTGCAGGAAGCAGAGGGCAACACCTGCTCTCACCGCCAGCAGCCTTCCTGCCTCTGACGCCCACCGGGCAGGCACAGCCACCCCCCAGCTGGGGTGTGCTCTGGCTCTTCTGGAACTTTCTGGGAATCACGGGGTGGTTATGGTTAAGGAGAGCAGTGGTCGCTCTCGTGGAGATGAGGACAATCTCAGGTCCCATGTCTGGTTCTCTCCGCTGGGAACACGGAACTCAAGCCCGTAGAGAGGGCAGGGCCAACGTCCATAAACTAAAGACACCAAGCGCCAGGCTGTCCTGAGGGCTCTCAGCAACCACCGTGACACTCAGTGGACACGCTGTGATCCTGTTCCATGGCTTGGAGAGTCCCTGGGGGCGTACATGGTGAACGTGCTCGGCTGCTAACCAAAGGTTGGAGGCTTAAGGCCACCCAAAGGCGCCTCAAAAGGAAGGCCTGGCCATCTACTTCCGAAAAATCAGCCATTTCTAATCGGACACACACGGGTTTGCCGTGAGTTGGAACTGACTCGCCCGCCGCTGGTTTGTTTTTTGGTTTATGGCTCAGGAAGGTTAAAGGGCATGGCCCAGCTCTGACCTTGGGATGACCTCGCAGCCTCGCTCTTGCCTGCTGTCACCTCCATGGAATGCCACTCCCCTGGTGGCACCAAGGGCCTTGGGCTCCTTTACCAAGAAAGCAGGCATGAGCTAGGGGTCTGAACGACAGGAGGGTGACTCGTTCCCAAGGTTTGGCCCCAAGCTGGGGGCCCCGGAGGAGCCCAGTGGGGTACGTGCCTCCACGGGGAAGGGGCGGCCACGGTGCAGGGTCAGGGAATGTTCTGGTGAAGCCACAAGGCCTTCCCCTCCCCAGCGTCTTGGGGCTGAAACTGCGCACTCAGGTGGGAGGGGCCGGCAGCCGCCCTGGGCGTCTCTGCCAGGTGCAGGAGAGCTGTGTCACCAGAGCCACCAAGCCCTGTTGTCGCTGACCTACTCTGAGCCTCTCACCTCGTGACCCAGCCCTGGGCTGGGCCCAGTGCCGCATGCGACCTGGCTGCACTGTCTCTCTTCCCGGACTCCAAGGGGCTCCAGAAAACCTACCTAGGCCCACCGAAGGCCCAGAGAGGGTGCGCAGTGAGGAGGCTCTGAGTGACAGCTCTGGGTTCGACTCCTGCAACTCCTCGTACTAGCTGGCCTTCCTTGGTTTACTCGTCTGTACAGCGGGCGTGTTATACCACCCACTTGCAGGGTTGTCTGACGATGAATTGAGAGAAACGCACGGGGGGTGCTCAGTGCACTAAATGCTCAGCAAGTGGGCCCGTGACGTGCAGGTGGAGGCGAGACAGGAGCCTGCCGTCAATCCCTCGGCTGCCCCTGAAAGATGAGCCGCCTCCTGGCCAGGCTCTCCCAGCCTCCTTCCCAGGGACATGGTAACACCTGGCCCTTCTCCCGGGAAGCAGTGATGAGTTATGAGTTCGTGCACACGGATACCAAGTTGCTCAGGCGCAGAGGTACTGGGTGGTAAAAGCTTCCGGGTGGGGGCGGAGGAGTTTGGCCCCTGGGCTCTGGCACTGGGCTCCCAGGCACGCGCAGCCCCTGGACTTGGAGGGAGGGGACAGGGGCAGAAATCCTTGGTTTGTCTTTAGAAAACTTCCCCCTGGGGAGGCGGTGGGCTTGTGTGGGGCAGGAAAAAGGAAGGGGGAGTATTTTCACACCTTGTTGCCTCCTGTTGAAAAGAACGGCCTAGACCCCATGCCCGCCTAAACGAAACCCAGCCTGACTCTCGAATTATCGTCTTTTTTGTAACGAATGTGTTATAGGTTGAATTGCGGCCCCCCCAAAGATAAGCTGAAGTCCTAACCCCTGTACCTGTAAACTATGACCCAATTTGGAAATAAGGGTTTTCCACTGTTACGCTGGCACACCCGTTATCAGGAGGGACCAGACCCTGGAGAAGGACATCATGCTCGGTAAGGTAGAGGCTCAGCAAAAAAGAGGAAGACCCTCAGTGAGATGGACTGACACAGTGGCTGCAACAATGGCTCAAGCATACAACGACTGTGAGCATGGCGCGGGACGGGGCAGTGTTTCGTTCTGTTGTACACCGGGTCGCTATGAGTCGGAACCGATGGAGGGCACCTAGCAACAAAGTAACACTGTTACGCTGAAGAGTCCTGGTAACACAGTAGTTACGCCCTCGGCTAACAGAAAGGTCGGCGGTTTGAACCTGCCCGCTGCTCCAAGGGAGAAAGAGGACAGACAGCCTTGGAAACCCGATGGGGCAGTTCTACCCTGTCTTACAGGGTGGCTGTGGGTTGGGGCCTCGGTTTTATTATGCTAATGAGGCCACACGACGTAGGATGGGTCCAAAACCCAGTCCCTTCTGAGTGGTGTGTTATAAACAAAGCAGGACAGACACGGGGAGGACAGACTCCGAGGGAAGATACACCCACAAGCCCAAGAATGCCAAGGACCTGCTGCAGCTACTAGAAGCCCACAGGCACGAGGCTCTTCCCCCAAAGCCGAGAGCCAAGCGAGAATGGCCCCGCCTGGGTGCAGACTCCTAGCCTCCAGAACCGTGAAACATGCGTTCTGTTCTTCAGAGCCGCGCGCCTGCGGTGCTTTTTGTGCTGCTCACTAAACAGCGCTCTAGCCGAACTGGCTGAATTCGCCGAGTACAAAGGGGGCGGGGGCCCGAGGCACTGACCTCATTCACAATGTAGTCCAGCAGCTCGAAGATGGCCATGGCGGGCCGGTTGTCCACCCCGTGACCTAGGTGGGAGAAAAGCACCAACAGGGTCAGCGCCCGCCGACCGACGGGTGAGCGGATGAACACACAGCGGCATCTGCACGCAATGGAGTATTACGCAGACAACATGCGGCATCTGCACCAATGGAATATTACGGAGCCACAAGGAGGAATGAAGTCCTGCCGTATGCCACCGCCGTGAACCGAGGGAAAGAAGTCACTCACAAAAAGACAGCCGCTGTATCATCCCACGGATGTGCAAGCTCCACAGCACGCAACCGTACAGAGACCTACGTTTACCCGGGGCCACCAGGGGCGGGCGGAGGGAGCGGGAGAGACAGTCTCATTGCTTAGGGGGATGGACAAATCTGGGAACAGCAGGATGAACCCAATTACTGTACTGAACTGTACACGTGAACACTGTTAAGATGCCAAGTGTTTTGTTACATATATATTTACTGCAATTAAAAAATAAGGACAAATGCTGTCATCCCACTTTTACGGAGTTATCTGGAATAGGCAAGTTCACAGCGACAAGAGGGCAGCTGAGGGGCTGTCGGGGGCTGGAGCAACGGGCTGGGGGTCTACAGCTGAAGGGGTATGGAATTTCCATTTGGGGTGACAGAAAACTTGCGGGAACAGAGGTGACGGCCGCGCAACACTGTGAATGTTAATTAATGTCGCTGAATTGTACGCTTAAAGACGGTTAAAATGGCCAACTTAAAATTGTGGTAAAAAAAACATTTAACAGGACATCTGCCAAGTCGACAAGTTTTTCAGTGACACTGGTTACGTCCACCATGTTCTGCAACCATCACCACTTTCCTTTCCCAGATTATTTTACCGTAAAACGGCAACCTTTTCTTACATGTATTTTACAATAACAACAACAAAATCCCCAGGGTCAGGTGGGCAGCGGGGCTGACTGCTTCATCTCTGGCAGTCTGAGATGAGACTGTGAACACAGCTCCGGCATCTCTCCCCGGCCCGGCCAGGCTGAGCTGCTACCGAGTGTGTTTCCCTGGGAAAACCATTTCTCCCCCGAACCTCTGGTGAATTCCAAAAAAGTGCCAACACGAACACATGAATATTTCTGAGAAGTCACCCATTTGGCGTGGGCTTGATAGTGCCAAAGTCGTACCCCCTTTCTTGCTAGTGCGCCAGGCAGGGCAGGGCACGGGGTGCCAGCCGCAAGGATGGGCGTGTGACCTTACACAGACAGAGCTGCTGGCAGTGACAGCAGAGGCCCCAAATGCCACTCTGGATGGGCGGCTGGGCTGGGGGTTGTGGACCTCTATCCTCGCTGCAGCTGGACTTTCGTCTCTGGCCCTGCCCTGAGATGGGCACGAGGGCCAGGGTCAGGGAGGTACAGGGTGGCCAGGCGGCCCGGCACACCCCACCGCTGCTCCCCTCTGGGAATGGACAGTTGGGAAGCCTTGACGATTCAGGGCTGGGAGAGTCCTCTACGAGGGGTCGGATACAAAGCCAGGCCTGCGGTTGAAGGGCAGTAAGATCTTCCACTGCGAGGAAATCGAGATGGATGCCCCAAGCAACCCGGCTGCCACACCAAAAAGGGGAGGCGAAACGCTTGAAAATACCATGGAAAACATGGTCTGATCACCCAGTGCCCATCAACAGATGAATGAATGAACACAACGTAGTCCATCCATACAATGGAATACTACTCAGCCATAAACAGGAATGAAGCAATGATACACGGACAACATGGATGAACCTTGCACGCATTATGCTGAGTGAAAAAATTCAGGCACAAAAGGCCACATATTGTGTGATTCCACTGATACGAAGTGTCCAAAACAGGCAAATCCATGAAGACGGCAAGTGGATTAGTGGTTGCCTAGGGCTTGGAAGGAAGGGGGAATGGGGAGTGACCGCTGACGGGTATGGGGTTTCTTTTGAGGGTGATGAAAATGTTCTGGAATTAGATAGTGGTGATATCTAATTATCTATATTAGATAGTAGATACTGCACAATCTTGTGAAAATAATAAAAACCATTCACTTGTACACTTTCAACAGGTGAACTGTATGGCACGTGAATTATATCTCAATAAGGCTGTTATAAAACCATCACCCAAGACCCCCACGGCTGACTACAACGGTCCCATGGACTCTAACTCGACCTTCCTCCTGTCATCTGACTAAAGCTAAGCCTCAACCTTCTCTCTACACCATCTCCGAACACGGCCAGTGTCCCAGCCTGACCATCTCTAGGGTCAGGGAGCGCCTCCTCATGAGATGTCTACTCTAAGTGCCAGAAGGGTCTCCAGGGGCCTAGCTGTCCCCCCAGTGGCCCGTCTCTCCCACACCGTGCTTTCTGTGGGAGCGAGTGTTGGGGTCAAACCCAATGAGCCACCTGAGGAAATTCCAAATCAAAGCTGGCAGGATTTCCTTTGGTTTTAAAGCTTGGCCTTAATGGGGCACAATGTTAACGGCAGAACCTAGGTGGTGGGTGTCAGTGTGTTTACTGGGCAAATCTCTCAACCTCTCTGTCAGTTTGAACGTTTTCATGACAAAATGTGGGAACACCAGCCAACCACAGGCTTGGCCCGGAAGCTCATTTCTGGATCCTTCCAGCTGGCAGCAACAGGTGCAGCTGCCCTGCACATAATGGCCTTGGGGCGCTGCTTCCAGCTCTGTCTCCAGCAATCCCAGGACCGTCTGAGGACTGCTGACCACACCAGCTCTACCCGGGGACAGGTGGTGCTCAGAGGAGCCAGGGGAGGTCACCACCCGCCCAGAGCAGAGGTCCCAGACTCAGGCCGTACCACTGATGGGGCGTCCAGGGGGCCGTGGCCGCGGCGAGATGCTGTGGGGCTCTCCCTCGGCCCCATCGACCACGGGCCGGCCGAAGATGGCCTCCAGCTCCTTGGCATCCGGCGGGGGGATGGGGTACCTTCCGATGGACAGCTCCACCAGTGACAAGCCCATGCTCCAGATGTCCGACTGCACAGAGTAGTGGGTGCCTTGCAAGCGCTCCGGCTGCCGGGCAAGACAAAGAGAAACGTTGGGGGAAGAGGAGCTGGCGCCTGGAGCCACTGAGTGGCAGGCTGGTGTGCGCGGGGTCAGAGGGGCACTTCCGTCACTCCCTCCCCCAGCCGCCCCTCCTCCCCCCACTGTGAAAGAAGGCAAGCAATTCTGGCTCCTCCCCTGGCCCCCAGTGCGTGATGAGACTTTAGGATGTAGGTGCTTCAAACTGATGCTAACAGTGGCTGCTCTGAGGCCTGTGATTCTTAGTGCTATGGCACGGACGACGGGCCCCCCAACAGTCAAGGGACCACCTCCTTGCTCCCATCTGGAGACTAACTTCTCAGAACTAGCTTATAGGATCAACTCAGCGGGCTCCTGGTCACCCAACAGAAAACCAAAACCAGCTGCCGTTGTGTCGACCCCTACTCATAGAGGCCCCGTGTGTGACAGAGTAAAACTGTGCTCCACAGGGTTTTTAATGGCTGAGTTTGCTGAAGTACATCAGCAGGCTTTTCTCCCGAGGCATCTCTGGGTGGACTTGAACCTCCAACCTTCGGTTAGCAGCTGAATATGTTAACGTTTGCGCCGACCAGCGACCCTGGTCACTCGGATTTCTAAAGTATGGGAGAAAGAACCAACTTCTTGGTTCCAAAATTAACTGTTGCTGTTGTCAGGCACCGTCAAGTCGATTTCGACTCACAGCGACCCCATGTGGCAGAGCAGAACTGCCCCACTGGGTTTTCTAAGCTGTAACCTTTATGGGGGCTGATCGCCATGTCTTTCTCCTGTGGCTCAAATGGGGCACAATGTTAACGGCAGAACCTAGGTGGTGGGCGTCAGTGTGTTTACTGGGCAAATCTCTCAACCTCTCTGTCAGTTTGAACTGCTGGGTGGGTTCAAACCGCCAACCTCTCGGTTAGCAGCCGAGCACTTAACTGTTGTGCCACCAGGGCTCCTTCCATAATTAACTCACTCCCCCTAATGACTGCCAGCAGAAAGGAAGCGAGCTGGCCTCTCCAGAGAGCCAGAACCCTAAGTGAGAACATGATGGACGCCAGAACTCGGACAGGACGGAGAGAGCTGGCAGGAGTAGAGAATTGGTCACCAGCAAGCATGGGGTTTGCAAGGAGCTTACTGGGAACGACAGAGAGCTGGCTGCAAGGGTGGTGAGGGGTACAGAAAATGACACACCTCCTGCCAGAGAAACGTACCGACATGTAGGAGCGCGTTCCCACAAAGGAGTTGGCCATGGAGTCAATGAGCTGCCCGCTCACCCCAAAGTCACAGAGCTTGATCTCCCCTCTGGAGTTGACCAGGATGTTGGAAGGCTTCACATCTGGGAAGAGCAGGCTGCCGATGAGCACCCGGGAGGAGCTGGCCACGGGCAAGCGCTGAGGGAAATGTGCGGGCCCCATCCACCTGCCCGCCCGCTTACAGGCCCCAGCCGGTTGGGGAGGGTGTCCGCCATCTGATCCCCTTACCTCGGTGCATGATCTGGTGCTTCTCTCGGAGGTATGCCAAGCCCCGGAGAACCTGAGCGGGAGCCAGGGGTCAGTGGACAAGGCCACAGGCCGGGCCTGGGGAGCCGCGGCGTCTGGGACAAGTTAGCAGACCGGCGCTCACACGGAGTGCGACTCTTGGGGGGGATGAGTGGGAACAGTGGGCAGCTGATGAGACCAACAGAGGTACCCACGTGCCAGGCACAGTCCCAAGGGCCTGACGCACAGAGTCGGTGGTCATTATTTGGGAGGTCCGTGTTTGTGAATCCGCCTACTTGCTAAGAGGTATCTGTAACCCCAAAATTGAGGCTGGTAGGGCTTTCAAGGACGTTTACAGACACGCACACGCACAGAGTGGGGAAATCTGAGTCGCTGGTGTGCTGTGGTTGAGTGAGGCTGGTTCGGTGTTCGTGGGGACTTTACAGGATGTAACTACAACGGATAACAAGAACAGACTGTGTACACGTCGTTAGCTGCTGTCATGTCTGCCCTGACAAGCGACCCCAGGCCTTTCTCCCTAGTCCCTCTTAGTCTGGAAGCTCTGCTGAAACCTGTTCGACAGCCTAGCAACACGCAAGCCCCCAGTGACAGACTGGTGGTGGCTGTGCGTGAGGTGCACTGGCGGGAGTTGAACCCAGGTCTGCCGTGCGGAAGGCAAGAGTTCCACCACCGCCTGCAGCTCTGTCTGCGTGTGATTCACGTATTCTCGCACAACCACCTCCTAGGAGACAGGTGCACTGGGCTTCCATTTTAAAGGGGAGAGGGCTGAGGCACACGAGTCTCCGACAGCTGCCACTGTCACAGTCAGGGAGGGCGGGGTGCTGGGCTCCGGGGGCGGCCCAATTTAGGGGCTGAGCGCTGAGCTCCACCAGACTGAAGGGTCTGAGGACCCATCCGTGGGTTGAAATGGTGACAGAAGGGACGGCCCTAATGGCGCCTTCCAGGGTTGAGACGCCGCAGGCCCGGCACCATACCAGCCACTGTGCCCCCATCACCTCGTCTGTGCCCACAGCTATGCCAGGCAGGTCAGGGTTATCCCCATTCACAGGCAAGGAAACAAGGGTTCGGAGAAGCAGCATCTTCCGCCCAGACCTCACTGCCGGCTGGGGGCCAGGAAAGCCACTGGCAAAGATGCGGTGCAGACACCCCGGGAGGGCGCCTCTGGCTCCACCTTGTTCCCTGGAACCCCAAGTGCATTTTCTGACAGCCAGGGGGTGTGTCGTCAGAGGTCACGGTGGCCCTGCACCCCCGTCCCAGATTTTCCCTTCAACCACCTTCTCAAGCTCCTTCCCCACACACCTCTGCCGGCACCCCATCCGCAGGGCCCCGGCTGTGGCGCAGGCAGGAACGTTTGTCACCAGGCGATGGGGAGGGGCTGCTAGACCGGCTGCCCCCATCTGCCCAGGGCTGCTCCACGGCCCCCCGTGAGGGCCAGGACAGCGTGTGGGGCCGGAATCTCAAGACCTAGCGTCTTCACTCAACAGATGGGGAACTCAAGGACCCAAAAGGGGACGCCCCTAACTCCGAGTCTCGCCGTAGTGGGAGGTGGGGACAGCAGCCCCTATGAGGTGGGCTTCGCACTGCTCTGGCACCCCGGCCGCGTGAAGGGGATGGGGGAAGAACGGATCCGTGCAGAGCCGGGGTGAGGCACAGGGGCCAGGCGCCACAGCAGCCAGCAGGGCACACGGGTCGGTGGACGACGCGCACTTACCGCAATGCTGACCTTCCCCAGGATCTCTTCCGGAATCCTCCTGGCTTCTTTCAGCACCTGGTCCAGGGAGCCTCCGTCCTAGGTGGCCCACAGAAAAGAGAAAGCAAACCATTCTGAGCCGCCTGCCCGCCCTCAGGGCCCGGCGGGGAAGGGAAGGCCGTGCGGCCTGTTCTCCGTGAGGTGCTGTGACACTTCCTCCACAGTCAGGCCCGGCCACTGCTCCCCGGGGCCACCAGGAAATGGGAAGGGAAGAGAGCCCACGGCGCCAGTGCTGTCCCCACGCGCTGCGTCTCTCCCCGGAACAGGCTGTCCTGCCGGGGCTGTGACTCAGCTTCCTGACACTGGCCCGGGGTGGCAGGCGGGGCCCTGGGCCATGGTTATCGCCCAGGCCCCGGCAGTGCTCCCCAAAGCCCCCGGCCTGCTCTGTCTGGGCCACACAGAAACTTCCGGGCTGGGGATCAGAGTGATTACAAACGCCCTGGACGTGAGAGCCCGGCCAGCTCCGTGGGCCCGTGTGGACCCCCAGAAGGGAGCTGTGAGGCCTCAGCGGGCAGGCGAGTGTGAGCAAGGGGAGGGGGCACGGAGGCGGCCTGCTCACCCAGAACCTCCACGGTTTCCTTGCTCACGACCGTGGTGACCTGACTTCTCTGTACCTGGCAGGGGCGGGCCCGCGCCTCCCGGTAGCAAAGGGCAGGAAGACGAGGACCTAACGCCCGAGGGGCTTGTGCACAGCAGGCGGGCGTGAGCCCTTCAGCCCTGCCTGTGGTCTTCTAGTCTAGTCCCCATGCATGGCACAGGGACATCCCGTGAAGACACCGAGACGAGTTGCCCCACTTGACTTCCCAGCCCACCCTGGGTGTGGCTCCAAACACAGGTAGTGGCCGCCCCAGTCTCAGGGGCCTTGTCAGAGGCAGGGCTTTCTGGACACGTTCCCACAACGCCGACGGGTGCCACGCCAAGCCCTGACAGCAGTCAGACACGCGACACAGGTCTCCTCAGCCGCCCCTCTCTGTCTTGGGCACTTCTGCCTCAGCTGAGCTCCCAAGAAAGGCCGTGGGGGTCGCTACAACACCCAGCACTCGGAAGGGGCAGGAAACCATGAGGCACAAGGCCCACCAGGTCAGGTGTGCTGGGGCAGGGCACCAAGGAGTAACTGACAGGACAGGGTGGCCCGGCTCCAGTGAGCCCGGGTAGCCGGCACCCTGTCCAGCCCCACTGGCGAGACTGGAAGCCCCTGGACTCTTCTCTTCTTTGTTTTAGCAACCAATCTTAAAAGAATTCAGGAAAAAAATGTGTTTTGCACTGTGACCCCCGCTCCCTGAACCAGCTCCCTTCATTGTGACACTGCCTGGAGTTGCAGTGAGTATCCGCTGAGTGAGGACACTCACGGAGAACAGTCCCTGGCCCCGCACAAGGAGCCTCCCGGTGCCCGGGGAGCAGCCCTCACAGGCAGACGGAGGTGACTGCTCTGCAGCGGGCTCTCCCCCTTAGCACTGTTGACATGGGGCCGGGTCATCCTCCGGGGTGGGGCCGTCCTGTGCACTGTAAGGTGCTGAGCAGCACCCCTGGCCTCCACCGATTCAACGCCAGTAGCACACCCCCTTCCCAGTCGTGACAACCACAAACGCCCACAGACATCACCTGCGTCCCCAGAGGGCAGAATGACCCAGGTGAGAACCCCTGGGTTAGGGGATTCCACTGACCTCCCCCAGAGACTCTGCATCCCGTAATCATCTGACCTACTGACGTCCTAGGACGCTGCCCACATTTAAACCACTGAGTAGAGAGAAGAGAGGAGAGAAATCACAGGAGCTGGTGGGGGAGGTCCCCCTGGTTTACACCATCAGACCCATTGGGGTATATTCTGGTGGACGGTGTGAGCAAGGACTGAACTCAATTTTTTCCAAATAATTAATGCAGGGTCTCTCCCCCTCAGCACTGCTGACATGGGGCTGGGTCATCCTCTGGGGAGGGGCCGTCCTGTGCACTGTAGGATGCTGACCAGCACCCCTGGCCTCCACCCACTCCATGCCAGCAGCACCTCCCTAGATATGACAACCACAAATGTCCCCAGACATCTGCAGTGTCCCCTGGGGGCAGAATCGCCCCTCACTGAGCCCCACTGCTCTATGGCTGAGACCAGAGTCACGCAGGTAAGTCAGTATCCTGCCCGGGTCATGTCACCAACACACTGTACAGGAGCTCCTGGAACTCAGCCTTTCTGACCCCAAACTTGGCTCCTCACGTGACACCACACACTGCTGTCGGTCTGTTATTTTTATGCTCGTGATGCATTTTTATTAAGCAGATCGCACGTGAATTCATTTTTATTATACAGAATTCAAGTGCAGATGAATAACCCTCTGGCCCCCCAGCAACTCCACTTCCCTGGACTCTGCTGGACTGAGGTGTGCCTTATGTTCTTCCAGATCTTTCCACATGCCTTTACAGACACATCCGCGTGCAGAGAAAGAGACTTAAGAAGTATACAAACGGGCTCAGACTGAGTGTTTTCTGCAACTTGCCTTTGTCCGCACTTGATGATGTCTCCTGGAGACGTCCCCTTACAGGACAAGCGTGATGTTTTCATTGTACTGCTGTGGAGCGACCCAGGATCATTCTGGAATCACCCTCACTGATGGACGCGTCCGATTTTTCACCATTGTAGAGTGAGGGAGTGCCCTCTTCAACAGATCTGACCCGAGAAATGCCAAGAGCTGCCTGGCAATGTCGGAAGCTCCCGGCAGCCCACTTTTACCTCATACCACCCCACTGTCCGCACCCTGAGTTTTTCCAGTAACACGTTCAGGCCAGACCTGTGTTCTGAAGCCCCAGTCGTCAACCTGTGCTAGCCAGCCCCGCGGTTTAACTCCTATGCTGAAGCTATGCTGCTAACTGCTAATTAGGGGTCTTCCCTAGCTGGTACAAACCATGAACATGCTTGGCTGCTGACAAAAGGTTTGAGGTTCAAGTCCACCCAGAGGTGCCTCGGAAGAAAAGCCTGGCGATCAACTTCCAAAAACTCAGTCACCGAAGACCGTGTGGAGCACAGTTCTCCTCTGACACGTGGGGTTGCCATCGGTCAAAGTCAACCTGAAGACAACTGGTCTGGGTTTCTCATGGTTCTCCTCCTCAAATGATTAATGTTACTTTGTTCTCACTGTTTAAAGTAAATCATGCCTCCCCCACCTGGAATGTTCCATGCGTGAAGCCTCATCCCATACTTCAGGATCAACGGCCTCCAACTTTTTTTGATCACAAACCCTGATGGTAGATAACGTGGGAGCGTAGACCATACCTGAGTGTACTTTCTGTATGCGTCATACGCCTGTTCTACTGTCCTCATATAAACACGAACTAAAAACTAGAAACAGGGACGTCTAGAGGATGTGTACAGTGAACAGGTCCCTAACTGAGAGGTTGGCGGGTCCGACCCACCCAGTGCCACCACAGAAGAAAGGCCTGGCGATCTGCTTCCTTAAAGATGACCGCCTACGGAGAAGCTCTATTCTGTCACACGTGGGTCGCCATGAGTCGGCATCCACTCAACGGCAATGGGTTTGGTGTGGTTTCTTGGTGTTGTGAACACACACAGAAGTGACAATTCTCCTCCTGTGTCCTGGGGCTCGGTTCTCGGCCCTGTCGGGCTGCACAGCTGGTCTGCAAACCACCGCTTTAAACTCCCTAAGAACAGAGGCGGGGAGCGGGCCAGGTGGAGTTGCTCCCCTTTCTCTGCATGGGGAAGAGGAGGAGCCCTTGAGGGCTGAGTCTGATCCCGTGAATGGAGATGAGTCACTGTGCAGGGGCACGGGCAGAGCTTCTGAGCAGAGCGTCTCTGCCGTGAACTGGGAGGAGGGAGGGTGTCAGAGGTGACAGGTGGCCGCCTCCAACAGGAGCAGCACTCTGCGGACCACAAAGCACTTCCACGTCCTTTCTTCTCCCTTTGATTTCTGTCTGCATGATCACCTCGAGAGGAAGGTGGGCGGACAGGGTTCCCCTATCCCAGCTGACAAATGAGGCCCCAGCAAACGTAGGGCCTGGCTTGGGACCTCCCAGCTAAGCCAGGGCCAGGCAGGAAGGGGAGACGCGCCTTCTCACACCCACACAGGGCTCTCTTGCACCAGGCCGCCTGCTTGTGGGGTAGTTCTTGCGGCACGCTTGCTCAAATTCATTTCCTGCCTCCGTTACAAAATTGTTCAAGGTGACAGTGGGTTTTCAAGGCGTAACCGACGTGCCAAAAGCCGCACTGCCTCCTGGCGTTGCAGGGGTGTCAGTGGGCCTGGGTCCCTCCAAGAGATGGGCAGCAGGAAGCACCACACCTGATGAATTCGGCTCCACACGGGGTCGCGGCATTTCCTCCCGGGACCTTCAGCCCTGACCACTTCTGCTTTCGTTATGCTCCATCCCACCCACTTCTGCACTTCAAAACCAGAGTTTCTTAACTAGGGGGCACCTCAGAATCAACCGGGGTGTTTTAAAAACAGACAATGCCTGTGCCCCATGCTGGACATGCTAATCCCACAGGTCTGAGCTGGGATGTGGGTGTGGGTGCCTTCTAGAAAGTTCCTCAGACTGCTACCGTTTTGTTGTTGTGGCTGTTAGCTGCTGTCAAGTCAAGCTTGCCCGCCTGACTCATGGCAACCCCAAGCATACCCAGACAAAATACTGCCCGGTCTGTAGGGATTGGCTGCAGCTCGGACCACTGTGATCCATGGGGTTTTCACCGGTTGATGTTCAGAAGTTGATCGCCAGGCCTTTCTTCCTAGTCCCTATTAGTCTGGAAGCTCTGTTGGAACCTGTTCAGCATCACAGCAACACGCAAGCTTCCACTGACAGATGGAGGCTGTGCACGAGGCACACCGGCCGGGAACTGAAGCTGGGTCTCCTGCTCTCCTGCACGGAAGGCAAGAATTCTACCACTGAGCCGCCACTGCTTCATACAGTTTCCTCAGAGAGTGGAAATATCAGTAACGCTTTTAACTGCATGTATTCTTGGACTGGACCTTTCTACTTCTAGAACCTTCTATAGAAACTGGAACCAACCTACATGTCTACCAACAGGGGAGTGTCTAATCAATGATCGGACAGATGTGTGTGCCCACAGTGCAATGCCATATGGTGGGTAAAAAGACGCCACCAGCTCTCTAAGGAGCCCTGGTGATGCGACAGTTGAGCACTCAGCTGCTAACCGAAAGGCGGCAGTTCACACCCACCCAGCGGCTCTGTGGAAGAAGGGCCCGATAAACCACTTCCATAGAGATTACCGTCTAGGAAACCCTACGGGCCGCTCTACTCTGTCACACGGAGCCGCTATGAGTTGGAATCAACTCGATGGCACCCAACAAGCAAGCTCTTTATAGGCTGACAGGGAATGCCTTTTGTGATATACCAAGTGAAAAAGCAAAGAACTAGAGTTTAAAACTGAAAGAATCTATACGCATCTAAGCTTATAGACAGGCAGCGACTATCTCCAGAAGGATCCTCTTTGAAACAGGCTTTTTCAAAAAAGCCTGCTCTTGCCTCCGAGGACGGGGACCCTTTGCACTGGGTACCCTTTTGTCCTACATGAATTTTAAACCCTGTACTCATATAGTGAATCACGAGCGAAAAGCTGTTCCAGGACTTCAAATCCTTCTTGGAAGCTAGACTCACTGGACACGCTGAGACTGGAAGACACCCCAATCTATTGCTTGGAAACAGCTTTGAAGCCTTGAACCACCAACCATCCCATAAAGTCGTCTTCAAACTCAACCACAGTTTAGCTCATTTTATAGAGAACGTTCTCCTCGAGCACTGTCATCTTTTAAAGAATGACCTAGATGAGACTGAACGAACAACGGTAACTGAAGCACAGACGGGAACTCTAAGGGGCAGAGTCCGAGCTAACAGTGGTGAAAACAGGGGCAGAGACAGGGAGATTGGTGACACGATGTGAAGAATGAGCTGGACACGCAGAAAATGTCCAACGGGAGTGTGTTTTGTTGAGAATGTTTTCATCAAAAATTAATAATTAAAAAGTATAAAAAAGAAAATCTATCCCGGTAGCCCCGGGGAGGGAGCCCCGCACCCGGCGCACTCACCATGTGTTCCATGCAGATGCTGATCTCCCCGTCGCTGTAGAAGGCCCCGTAGAAGCCCACGATGTACGGAGAGTTGCACTCGTGCAGGACCTGCAGCTCCCGGATGATCTGGTTCCGGATGGCTGGCTTGATCTCCAGGTGAATCAACTGCAAGGGGAGAGAGAGGGTGCGAGGCCGTGAGGTGAGGGGCCAAAGGAAAGAAGGACACTGGTCTTTGCCCTTGAGGTGCTCACAACAGCATTCAACATCAACTGAGCAGCCCAGCAATTCCGCTCCTGGGTCTATGCCCCAAAGACCTGAAAGCAAGAGACTCAAATAGATACGTGGACAGCAACGTTCACTGCAGCACTATCCACAAGAGCCAAAAGGTGGAAACAACCCAAGTGTCCATCAACAGATGACAGATAAACACAGTGTGGCCCCCATCCACACAATGGAATATTATTCAGCCAGAAAAAGGAATGAAGTCCTGATAGACGCTACAACATGGGTGAACCTTGAAAACGTGAGCGAAATGAAAGAAACCAGACACAAAGGCCCACACGGTACAGGATTCCATCTATGAAATGCTCAAAACAGGCAAATCCAGAGACAGAAATAGAAGTGGCAGCCCAGGCTGGGGGGAGGGGCGACAGAGAGTGACTACTGATAGATGTGTGGTTTCTCTTTGGGGTGATGGAAATGTTCGAAAACGGACTGTGGTGAGGGCTGCTTGATTCTAGGAAGAGACTACGAGCCACTGAATTGTACATTTTAAAAGGGTGAACTGCATGGTATGTGAATTCGATCTCAATAAAGCCGTTAAAAAAAATCAAGTGAGCAAACATTTTTCATTTCCTCCTAGTGGGAGCGGTTAACAGGATTTTTTTTTTTTTTCACTGAACTACAGTTTTACAGTTTACACTACTTTTACTCCATGCCGTCTGTCACTGTGGTGTACTGTGGTGGCTGCGTGTTGCTGAGATGCTGGAAGCTAAGCCACCCATATTTCAAATACCAGCAGGGTCACTCAAGGTGGACAGGTTTCAGCGGAGCTTCTAGACTAACACAGGCTAGGAAGAAAGGCCTGGTGTTCTACTTCTGAACATCAGTTAATGAAAACCCAATGGATCTCGACAGAACACTGACCGAGATAGTGCTGGAAGATGAGCCCCCTAGGCTGGATGGCACTCAGAATACACAGTGGCCACAACCATGGACTTGAGCAGGCCAGCGATCATGAAGACGGCGCAGGACTGAGGGCGTTTCGTTCTGTTGTACACTGGGTTGCCGTGGGTCAGGCTGACTCGATGGCAACTAACAATACTGCACAAAGTGCCAGCCTCTCTCCCTGGGCGCAGGCCACAGGATGCCCCTTCATCAGCCAGGGGTGGGTTTACACAAAGCGCCCTCCCACCTGCAGGCTAGAGACACCACCCGACAGATGTCACCCTAGGATCCCAACTCTCCTTCCACCGCAGCTGTATTTGGCAGAGGAAACTGTCACGGAATCCATCACAGCAACATTTCAAGGTAGGAAAGCAAAGAATCATGGGAGAGATGCAGAAAAGACATCTGGTAAAATGCCAGAAGCAATCCTCAGCAAAAAAACCCTGAGTGAACCAAGAACCCGCAGCACCCCGGGAAAGGGCCTGGGGCCACCGCGGTTGTTGGTATCGTCAGCTGCCATCCAGTCGGCTCCCGCTCACAACAGAACGAAACGTCGCCCAGTCCTGCGCCATCTTCACGGCTGCTGGTTGGCTCCAGTCTTGTGGTTGTGACCACTGTGTATTTCTAGTGTCTTCCAATTAGGGGGCTCACCTTCCAGCACTGTATCGGACAATGGTCTGTTGTGATCTATAGGGTTTTCATTGCTTGACTGATATCCAGAAGTTGATCACCAGGCCTTTCTTCCTAATCTGTCTTGGTCTGGAAGCTGAAACATGTCCACCATATGTGATTATGCTGGATTTGAAATCCCGGTGGCAGAGCTTCCAGCATCACAGCAACATACAAACCACCACGGTCCGACACTCTGACAGACAGGTTGGGGAGCCATCTCAGAAAGACAAGGAAAAGAGGCAATTTTCACACAGCTGTCAGAGAGGACGCGCCAGAACCCATCAGCAAGTCAACAGATGTTTGCATCAGGCACTGATGACACGCCAGGCCAGTGAGAAGGGAACCAGATGACGAAGCCGGTCCCACCATGGTGGGAAGGGAGGGGACAGGTAAGAGAAAACGTACAGTCAGCACGGCGAGGAGATGCTGTCAGTGAGGCAAGTTACAGAGCACGGCTCCGCAAGGCCAGGGAAGGCCGGCGAGAAGGTGACATTCAGGCTGGGCCTCCGAGGAAGGGTAGGAGCCTGCCAAATGGACGGGGGTGGGCGTTCTGGTGGCGGGGAACAAAGACCTGCCTGTTCAAGGGCATGCGGCATGGGGAAGTATGTGCTGCGTGCAGGGCAGTGGAAGGCTGGGCGTGGGGGGACGTGGGCAGGGTGCTACCTGCTCAGCAGGCTGGTGCCACTGACTCGGGTGACCTTGAGAACTCTGACCGGAGCCAGCGCCCCGGCCTTTCCCCAGGCAGAGCCTCGCCCGCCCTGACCCCCGCCTGACAGCCACACCCGGCAGGAACCTACGGGAAGCCCAGGATGCTGGTTCCTCCCGCAGGAAGGCACCTGTGAAGTAATGAGAAAGGCGCACACGCCCGCTCTGGAAGGGCGAGCTGCTGGGGCTGGCTCCGATTCTGTAATGAGGCAGGGCACGCGGGAGGAGCGTTCTGAAAGGTGAGAAGGCGCGGGATGCTGAGGGTGAGGGGCAGGAGGGTGAGGGTGAGGAAACCCCGCTGGAGCCACGTGGGTGATCTTAACCCTTCTAGTTGCCTCGGAAAGGAAAGGCGAGACGCTGAAATGCTATTCCTCGTACAGTTTAACTCAACAGATCAAAAAGTTAACACTTCAACTTGACGGCAATATGAAGTTGCTAATGGGATACTTTCATACCAAGCCTTCAAAACCAAGTGTGTATTTTACATACTTTGTTGTTAACTGTTGTGGAGTCGGCTCTGACTCATGGTGACCCTGTGTACAACTGAACGAAACGCTGCCTGGTCCTGCACCATCTTCACAATTATTGGTTTGCTCAAGTCCACCGCTGTGGCCACTGTGCACTCGGAGTGCCTGCTAACCTAGGGGCACGGTATTCTGCTGGGATCCATGGGGTTTTCATTGGCTGGTTTTCAGAAGTCAATCCCCAGGCCTTTCTTCCTAGTCTGCCTTCGTCTGGAAGCTCCACCGAAACCTGTCCACCATGGGTGGCCTTGCTGGTATTTGACATACTGGTGGCGTACCTTCCAGCATCAAAGCAGCAGGCAAGGCGCCACAGTCTGACACACTGACAGGATGGGGGGTGGCTTTTGCACACACACCTCTCAATTCAGACTGCTCACACTTCCAATGCTCAGTAGCCCCATGGAGCCAGGGGCTGCCCTACTGGCAAGGGCAGCTGCAGACCCAGAACTTTGAAGGAGCCACAGATGGCCGCAGGACCTTGGTTTTAATGTGACACTCGTGGAGCCCCTGGGTGGTGCCAACGGTGAGCCTGCTTGGCTGCTGACCAAAAGGCTGGAGGTCTGAGGCCACCCAGAGGCACCTCGGAAGCCCTGGGCAGCTACTTCCGAAAACTCCCCCGCTGAGAACCCAGTGGAGCCCGATTCCACTCACACACACGAGGTCGCCATGAGTTGGGGCTGACTCGATGGCAATGGGTCTGGTTATCTCCGTGGCTTACAAACCCAGCTTTCCAGATTGACGGGAAGGCACAGGTGCGGTGTGCAGAGGAGGGGCGAGGGAGAAGCGCCAAGGGAGGGGAAGGTTCGTTCTTGAGCACCTGTGCACCCTGACAACAGCCTGCAGGACTGGCCCATTTCACCCACGAGCAGGTTCCAGTTTGCGAAAATTAAGGAACACTCCCAGTGGCACCTGGCTGGTACATGGTAGAGTCAGCATCAGAGCTGGTCGCCTGGAACACCACCGTCCATGCTCTTCCCCGTCCCCCCCACCCCCCACCCAGGCTGTGTGGGTTCTGAGAAAACAAAATCAGCATCAGAGCTCACACCAAACATCACACACGTCCAAGAGCTGAAGGTGGTGTCTACTGCAGAAGGGGCTCTGAGCCTGGAATGGGGCACAGGGTGGGTGTTACGGATTGAATCGTCTCCCAAAAATAAGTGTCAACTTGGCTAGGCCACGGTTCCCAGTATTATGTAATTACCTTCTATCGTGTAAGCTGATGTAATTATCCTCCATTCTGTGATCCGATGCAATTATCCTATGTGTTGTAAATCCTAACCTCTACCATGTTAATGAAGCAAGATACAATCTACAGGATTACGCTGTATCTTGCCTGAGTCAATCTCTTTGGAGATACAGAAGAGATTAAACAAGTAAGCAGAGATCAAGGGACCTGACCACCACCAAGAAAGAAGAGTCAGGAGTGGAGAGCATCGTTTGGACCTGGAGTCCATGCATGAGAGCCTCCTAGACCTGGGGGAAGACACATGATATCTCCAAGGAATGCCAGGCCCTCAGATGTTGAAAAGAGACAAGGCTCTGCCCCCACAGCCTTCCCCAAGAGCTGGCGCCCTGAATTCGGACTTCTCACCTCCTGAACAGAGAGAGAATAAATTTCTGTTTATTAAAGGCACCTACTTGTGGTATTTCTGTTACAGCAGCCCGAGATAACTAAGACAGTGGGGGACGAACCAGAAGAGACAGAAAAGGCTTTACTGAGTGATAGCAAGATGCAGACGTGAAGTAGAAGACCAGGCAGCAAACTCCATCAAGGGCTGAGTCTGGAATGATCCAGGCAACATTTGAAAGCACAGATCCAGGATGGCGGCCACCGAACTGGGCATGGCGAGCAGAAATGAGCAGTGTGGCCCACACGGCATGTCGAAACATTCCGAGTCATTCAACAACGTTCAAAAATCGGGAGAGGTAGCCACCCTGAGCCTGCACCCAATGGTACCATCGGGTAATGCTGAACAGAGGGGCTCCTCCCAACGTGTAAATCTGCTGCCGAGTGCCAACCTGGTCTGCAGGGCTCTGGTGGGACCTCGACCAGCACTTGTGAGCAGTCCTCGACAAGGCGAGCCCACCTCATGGTTTTAACAGCTGCTGTCAAGTCTACCTTGAATCACGGAGACCCCATGTATGTCAGAGTAGAACTGTGCTCCATAGGGTTTGCAATGGCTGATGTTTTGGAAGTAACCGCCAGGCCTTTCTTCCAAGATGCCTCTGGGTGGACTCAAACTGCCCACATCTCAGTAGCAGCTGAGCACACTCATTGTTTGCACCACCCAGGGACTCGGTGCTCTACCACAATTGGTGAATGACTCCTCTACAGTAGCTGAAGGTAGGGAACCAGTCAGGAGAGGAGGCAGAAAGGAAGCGGAAATGGGTTTGACACGTGGCCCTGCCAGCTCGCTTCTACCACATCAGGTACTGAAGCTCCCAGAGACAGGCAGATCCGATGGGGTTCAGACCCAATTCAGCCACTAAGTCTTGCTAAGCCTCGATTTCCTCATCCGTAAAACGGAGCTGTCATTAGAGTTTATTTTTTGTCATTAGATTTAAATGAGAATATGCGTTAAGCTTTAGCACCAGCTTTGACCCAGGGTAATCACTTGAAAAGGAGGAGCCCTGGTGGCACAGTGGTTAAGTGCTCAGCTGCTAACTGAAAGGTCAGCAGTTCGGACCCACCAGCAGCTCCACAAGAGAAAGCCCTGGTGATCTGCTCCTGTAAAGATTACAGCCTAGGAAACCCTATGGGGCAGTTCAACTCTGTCACATGGGGTCACTATGAGTCGGAATCAACTTGACAGTGCCCAACAACACGGAACTGGTCCTGTTGTTTCCCTGCCACATCATCCTGGTTAGGATAACATCTACAACCAAAGGGACCAGAGGGATGCTGGCAATGGACGGTGCTGCCAGCCCACAGAGCAGGAGCTGTCTGGGCCTTCCAGAAGCTTCCCCCGCCAGTCCCCACACCTCTGGGCAGTCCACTTTGGAAATCTGATAAGCAAGTCTGTCCACAGGTTAAGTCCTCACACTTAGAATGCCTGGAATTCACCCCATCTTCCCTGGGGAAGTAAGAATCCCACCCAGCAGTGCAGCAGTGGGGAGGGATGGACTAAGGCCACTGTTTATTACCACCTTTTTTTTTTTAACTTCAAATCTTCCACCTGTGGAGTTAGCCAAATGCCATTCAGCTCTGTCAAGGGAAACAGGTCTTGCAGGTGAACCTGCATTCCAGATGGCCCAGAAGGCACCCCTGACCTCACAGCCTGGTGGGGGGCTCCTGGTCCCTCAGGGTGCTACAGCTCCAAAGTGCAAAGACAGTCAGACAGATAACCTTCCCACTCAATTTATTAACTGAATGCTTTTGAGCGCCCGCTCTGTTCTGACACTGTGCTAGGCATACAGTCACACACGTCAGCAAGACTACAGGACGGTGGGCTTCCAGGAAGAGGCGGCTTCTTATGTCTGAAAGGACACATTGTATGAGCTGAACCACTTGTAACTAGAAAGAGCTCCTGGGAACGTGTTTAGGAGCCAACCCAAAACCCAAACCCATTGCCGTCAAGTGGATTCTGACTCATAGCGACCCTACAGGACAGAGGAGAGCTGCCCCATAGGGTTTCCAAGGAGCGGCTGGTGGATTTGAACTGCCGACCTTCTGTTTAGCAGCAAAGCTCTTAACCACTGTGCCACCAGGGCTCTTGTGTTCAGGAGCCACTCATCCGAAATTTGGTGGCTCAGTGGTAGAATTCTTGCCTTCCATGCGGGACACCCAGGTTCAATTCCCAGCCAATGCACCTTACGATCCATGGGAAATAAAACCTGAGATGCCCCCGAACCAAAAAAAGAAAAGAGAAACCCACTGCTGTTGAGTTGATTCCGACACACGGTGACCCCATGCCTTACAGAGTAGAACTGTGCTTCATACAGTTTGCTTGGCTGTAATCTTTAAGAAAGCAGATTGCCAGGCCTTTCTTCTGCAGCATCACTGGGTAGGTTCATACTGCTGACCTCTCAATTGGTAGTCAAGCGCAAACCATCTGTACCACCAGGGACCACTGAGATCCCCACTATGCCCTGCCAATCATTTCAGCCTTTTGTTTTTTTTTTTTAACTTTTTATTTGGAAATAATGAAAAGAATCACAGGAAATTAAAAACACAGCACACGGAGTCTCGTGTACCCTTGATCCAGCTTCCCCCAATGATGAGGTCTCATGTTAATATCACAAAGAGCAATCAGACACCGGGACAGTTCCATGAACTAAACTACAGAACCGATTCACACACCCCCAGTTTTTTAGAGAATCTGAGTAAAACTGTGCTCCATACGGTTTTCAATGGCTGGGAGTTTGCCAGTAGACTGCCAGGCCTTTCTTCCAAGGCGCCTCTGGGTGGACTCAAACCTCCAACCTTTTGGCTAGCAGCTGAGCTGTTCGCTATTTGCACCACCCAGGGGCTCCCCTGCCACTTTAAACACCCACTCCTCACTTTCCAGGCTGTAATGAAGCTGCACATAGACGCCCCCTGGAAATCAGGGATCCCCAGGTCATCTGTGCCTTCCAGTGGAAGCCCTGTGCTTCATACCTAGAAGGTACTGGATTCACTCTGAGTCCGTGGCACGCTTGTGACTGGACTGGCCCAGGAGCGTCCCCTGGCCCCTCAGCCGACCCTGAGCAGTGCCTTGCTCTTGAACTCCCCTGCTGCTCTCAGAATCACGTTTGCCCTGCTGTTCGCCAGCCTCCAGGCAAATGCAGACCTGGGACTCCCGGTGCTGCTCTGGTTTTAAGGCAGCAGCCTGCAGCGCAGGGACAAAAACAGACGGTGTGCGCCTGCAGATGTCCAGAGGGAAGGCAGTGCTCAGAGGGGTGTGGAGAGCTCTCTGCAGCGCTGAATTCCACCACAAACCGAGCGCGTCCTTCCCCGTAAAGAGCCTCCAGGGGCTGCAGGGACCAACACAGACCCACTCAGGCAGGGAGCAGGTAGATTTCCGAGAAGGCAATTTTGGGAGCAACAGGATGGAGGGCTTCCAGGAAAAGGCAGCTTCCCCTGTTTGAAAGGATGCGACTGTACGAGCTGAACAATTTGTAACTGTGGAAATTGTTTAGGGAGTGTGCTTGGGAGCCACTCATCCCAAAACGGGTGGCTCAGTGGTAGAATCCTCTTCTTCCATGTAGGAGACCCAGGTTCGATTCCCGGCCAAAGCATCTCACGTACAGCCACCACCTGTCTGTCCGTGGAGGCTTTTGTGTTCCTATGATGCTGAATAGGTTTCAGTAAAGCTTCCAGACTAAGACGGACTAGGAAGAAAGGCCTGGCCATCAACTTCCAAAAATCAGGCAACGAAAACCCTGTGGATCACAACGGTCTGATCTGCAACTGATGATGGGGATGGTGCAGGATCGGGCAGGGACTTGTCTCATTGTGCTCGGGGTCGTCGTGAATCGGAGCCCTCCCGGCGGCAGCTAACAACAACGAACCCTAAAATGGTCACACCCTCGTCTTGTCAACTCCCTGCATCTCGCAGGGAACATTCTCCCACACACAGAGAGGGGGCTGAATTACAGCCTAGGAACCCAGACAATGAGACAGGTTTGGAACTTTCCAACATCTGCGCGTATGAAATCCTGAAGGGTGGTTTGGTTACTTGCCCACAGACCCCCCTCCGAGCCCCTGATCTGACCACCATGGCCAGCAGCAGGGCCATATCTCGGGTCTGCAACGCTCCCTGGGGTCGTGAAGGACCAGTGATGCTGGATCTAAAGGGGCTCGTGTCCCCGCCTTTCTTTCCAAAAACTCCCCTCGCTACCTCTCTCCAGCCAGCCCCCGAGTAGTCCAGAACACCTCTAGGGACCTCAGTTTCAAAGGGCCTCAAAGGCAGGAGTCAGCGAGCGAAGGGAGGTCCCAGCATTCTAACTAGAACCTTCAGGGCTGATAATCCATCACTGAGGAGATGGGCCTCCAAACACGGAGCCACTCGGAAAGCAGAGACCTGCAGCCTCTCAGACCTCTCGCCCGTGGCCGCCACGGTCACTCACCTTCCTTGCCATGATGAGGCCCGAGGGTCTGTGCTGCACTTTGGTGACCACCCCGCCGTTCCCGGCTCCCAGCTCAGAGATCCTCTCGAAGTCATCATCCTTGAGTTCACCGACCTTGGCCTTCTGGGTGAGGAAGGCCTCCAGACGCTTCTTCTGCTGCTCGTCTAGCTCTAGCTCCTCTAGCTTCTTCTGGAGGTCTACCAAGTTTGCTCTGCAGAGACCCCAAGGGCAAGGGTTAGCAGGGGAACGGGCGGGCACCCGAGAGATGACGCGACCCCGGCCCCGGTCGGTGGCGGGGAGGATGAATCAGACCTGGTTCTAGCACACGAAGGGCTTATGATCCAGCAGAAAAGAGATTCGTGTGCGTTCCACCCACAGACACACAGCCGACTGGACAGGGGGCTGAGGACACCACCCGCACCCCTGCTTACAAAGGTCAGGGGGAAGACCTGGGGACACTGAGGACTCGCTGCGGCTCCCTGGCCCTGGGCTAGGTGCTGGGCATGGCGGGGCACCAGTGCCTAGACCCAAGAGTCCCGTCGCCTGAGGCTAGCACTCCCAACTACAGCCAGAAGGAGATATGGGGACTGGGGAGACGACACAGGGGGCAGTGAGTGAGGGCCACCTGTCTTTCATGAGGACAGAGGAGTTAACTTGTTTCCAGCAGCCTCCGAGCAAAGGACTAGAGGCAAAGGGTCGAAGACAGAGCATGCCTCCTACACGCATCTAATTTATGTGAATTAAACGTGAGCGCCCAAGGGGGGAGAAGGCATAATTTAAGTCACGCAGGCAATTCTGGAACGTTCCGCTCACAGGGCACGCGCCTCCTATATCCCATACACGACAGTCAATGTTATGCGTTTTCACACACACTCATTCCTGAACCACGGTATCAAAAACAAACTGTGCATACTGCACTTTCTTGGGAGTTCTACTCTGATACACACGGGGCCACCGTGAATTGGGGTCCACAACTGGCTGGTTGTCACAGGCATAGACAGATGTTTAGCTCAACACGTGGACGAACTAACCTAGCGCTGTCCGAAAGATACACCATTTGGGTTCCGCGTGTAGTATGAAGACATAGTCGGAGAAGCAAAGCAGGTGGAATTAATTTTAATAATATACTTTATTTAACCCTACATGTCAAATACAGTATCTTTCCAACATGTTGTTGTATGCCATCGAGTCGATTCTGACTCATAGAGACCCCGAGTGACAGAGGAGGACTGCTCCATAGGGTTTCCTAGGCTGGAATCTTTACGGGAGCAGATCATCAGGTCCTTCTCCTGCGGAGCCACTGGGTGGATTTGAACCACCAACCTTTCGGTTAGCAGCAGGGCGCTTAGCCATTGCACCACCAGGGCTCCTTTTCAACACATAGGCAATACAAAAAATTAACGAATATTTACTGTACATCATTTGTTTTTTGTTCTAAATCTTTGTGATACAGAATATACCTTATACCCACAGCTCACCTAGATTTGAGACAAACCGCGTTTCAAGGGCACGGCCAGTGGCTGCTGAGCTTGACAGGGAAAGCTATAACCAAAATTCTCCAAAGGAGAAGGGGCTGCCTCCAGGGGGCTCAGTCAATTCCTGACGGTGTTTAAGGCCACGTGGGGGAGACGTCAGAGGAGATTCCAGCAGGGGTGAAGGGGTGGACTGGACGCTCCTTCCAATTCTGAAATTCTACCATCACTCCCTACGACTTAAAGGAGCAAAGGACCACACAGGCAGGGCTCTGAGGTGGCACTGTCACCTGAGCTGGTGCTGAAAGAACTTGCCAGAAGGCATGGGGCTAAGTGCCACTTCCTGAGCACTTACTGCATGCTTTACGAATACCATGGCAGGGAATCCTCCTGACCAGCCTGGAGGTGGGGTCTGGTAGTCCCAGCCCAGGCAGAGGAAACAGGCTCCTAGAGGTTAAGGAACTTGCCCAAAGTCACAGCTCGAGGAAGTGGCAGTGCCTGGAATCAAGCCCGTGCCCTCCTAATGGCCAAGCTCATGACCCCTGCTCATCTTGGTATCCCTGAGCCAGGACCAGGGGCCCAGTGGGTGCTCACGGAATGCCTGCTGAGTGAAGACAAGGAGGAAGATGTAATGAAGGGACCCTGATGGGCGGAAGGGCCAAGAAATGAGCGATTATGGCTGTGTTTCTTCAAGGACTACGCTGGACCATAGGGTTGAACAGGCAGCCTTTGAGCTCAGAATCCGGAAGGTCTCAGGACTGCCCTATGGCCCAGAAACACATCGTGGAGTCAGCCAATTAATCCAGTTTACATGTAATGGCAACTCAACTGTGGTTGTAAAAAACCCTCAAATTCCTCCTACTGGAGACCAGACTCACTGGACACACTGAGACTGGAGGGATCCCAAATCTACTGCCTGGAAACAACTTTTGAACTTTGAGCTGAAGCTATCCCACAAAGTCATCTTTAAACTAAACAGTTTGGCTCAACGAACAGAGAATGACTGTCTGGAGCTTTGCACCCTGCTGAAGAAGTACCTACATGAGACCAAAATGCCAGCAGGGACTCTGAAGCACAGATGAGAACTTTAAGGGGCAGAGTCCACGCAACGGTGGTGGAACAGGGGCAGAGACAGGGCGAACGGTGGCACTACGTGAAGAATGTCGCCACTGTCAATGAGCTGGACACAGAGAAACTGCTGACTGGGTGCAGGTTTTCTTGTGCATATTTCACTAAAAAAAAAAAAAATACTAATAACCTTGGAATTCCAACAGGGGGTTTCCTCTACTGGGGGAATTCTTGGAGGGATGGAAATCAGAAACCATAGAAGAGAAACAGAAAATATAGAAAGAGCTTGCTTGTAAAAAGAATAAGCAGGGGATTTTTAAAATAAGGAACATATCCCCATGTACAGCTCGGTGCTTGGAGGCGGTGAAAGAGACTCTGACATGCACATACCCACACCCACACCCACACCCTCACCACCCACACACCCCAAGGACTTTCCTCTTTGGTCTGTGCTGCAGAAGGCCAAGTCCCCTGAGAAGGAACGAAGCCACCAAGCAGGCCATTGAGCTATCACACCTTGTTCTCACCACAAGGCCCATCAAAGGCACCACAGCCAGGGCCTCCACATGGAGGACAAGAAAAGGGAGACCGTGGCCTGACAATTATGGGCCCCCGGACCCGCAAAGTCACTCCCCTCACCCTCACTTTTCATGTTTTTCCTCACACCGTAGGGTCCTGCCACGGCATACCCCTGGGATGCGCCTTTCTCCATGCTGTGCCCCAGCTTTCCAGAAGTCCCCCCAGTCCCTCTGTTCCCCTCGGTCACCCTGCACGTCCCTGGCCCCTCCAGACTATTCTAGTCCACTCCAGAATCTCTGCTCGCCAGCTTCCAGGGGTCCCAGTGGCCACCCCTCTACCTCTATCCTCAACCGCTCCCATTTCTCCCCCCGCCACCCCACCAAACCCCCTTCCTCAGCCCCTCACTCCTTTCTTTCTTCCCCAGACTCCCCAGTCTCTCCGCCTCCTCGGGCTCCTCCCGGCTCTCCCAGCCTCAGAGGATGCCACCCCACAACCCAGCAGGCTCCTCCACCCCGAGTCCTCTCAGGGACCCCCACTCCTACACCTCAGAGAACCCCCCAATCATGGCCCCTCAGGGACCCCTCCCCCTATGCCAACCCCTCAGATATCCTTCATCCTGACCCCCTGTAGGCCCCCAATCCTGACCCCTCAGGGAGCCTCTCATCTTAACCTCTCCCAGATCCCTTCTCCCTTCCCCGCACGGACCTCCTCACCCCTTTCCACCCCATCCTAGCCTCCAATTCCTTGTCCACCCTGTCCTCACTATTCAAGGCCCCCCAACCCCCGTCCTGGTACCACAGGAACTCCCTCATCCCATCCTTCCCCCCTCAAGACCTTCACCCCACACGAGTCCCACTATCTGGGGACTCCCCTCGCCTCATCCAGACACCAAGGGACCCCCAGTTCCCTCAACCCGTCCCCATCACTCAGGAAACCCCTGCCTCCTCCTCCATCCAAGGCCTCTCACCCCGATCTCACTAGTCAGGGACCCCTCACCCATCCCCACCCATCTTTATTCTGCAAGGACTACCCCATCCTGATCTAGCTACTCAGGGACCCCTCACTCCATCTTTTCCCCGCAGACCTCTCTTCACCACATCTTCTCTCCTCAGGGTCCCCTCATTCCGATCTCATTATTCAGGGACCACCCCCACCCCGTCTTCTCCCAGGAGGGACCCCCCTTCGCCCCGATCTCACTTCTCAGAGACCCCTCCCCCGTCCACCCTCCGTGCCCCCGCCGAACCCGGCCCACTCACTCGGAGGCGCCCTCGCTGGTGGGGGACGGGCCCTCGGCGATGGCGGTGTTGATGGTGAGCGCCGGCAGCACCGGCTTCCTCCGGGCCAGCATCGGGGCTCCGCGGGCC